CCCCCCCCCCACATACCCCAGGGCCCTCCACCCCCCCACATACACCATGGCCCCCACCCATATACACCATGGCCCTTCACCATACCCCCCCACCCCCCACATACACCAGGGCCCTCCACCCCCCCATATACACGATGGCCCCTCCACCCCCCCACATACACCATGGACCACCATCATCCCCCCTCCCCTTCACCATCACCAGCCCTCCACCCCCCCCCCCATATATACACCAGGGCCCTCCACCCCCCCATATACACCAGGGCCCTCCACCCCCCCACATACACCAGGGCCCTCCACCCCCCCCCATACACCAGGGCCCCCCCCCCCACATACACCAGGGCCCTCCACCCCCCCCATACACCATGGCCCCCACCCATATACACCATGGCCCTTCACCATACAAACCCCCCCCCCCACATACACCAGGGCCCTCCACCCCCCCATATACACCATGGCCCTCCACCCCCCCACATACACCATGGACCTCACCATCAACCCCCCCCCCACATACACCAGGGCCCTCCACCCCCCCATATACACCATGGCCCTCCCCCCCCCCCATATACACCATGGCCCTCACCATACAAACCCCCCCCCCCCCATATACACCAGGGCCCTCCCACCCCCCCATATACACGAGGGCCCTCCACCCCCCCACATACACCATGGACCTCCATCATCCCCCCCCCCCCCACATTCACCAGGGCCCTCCACCCACCCACCCCCCCCCCCACATACACCAGGGCCCTCCACCCCCCCCCATATACACCAGGGCCCTCCACCCCCCCACATACACCATGGACCTCCATCACCTCCCCCCCACATACACCAGGGCCCTCCACCCCCCCCCCACATACACCATGGCCCTCCACCCCCCCACATACACCATGGACCTCCATCATCCCCCCCCCATATACACTATGGCCCCCACCCATATACACCATGGCCCTTCACCATACAAACCCCCCTCCCCCACATACACCAGGGCCCTCCACCCCCCCATATACACCAGGGCCCTCCACATACACCATGGACCTCCATCATCCCCCCCCCCCCCATACACCATGGCCCTACCCCCCCCACATACACCATGGACCTCCATCACCCCCCCCCCCACATACACCAGGGCCCTCCACCCCCCCCACATACACCATGGACCTCCATCATCCCCCCCCCCCCCATACACCATGGCCCTCCACCCCCCCACATACACACATGGACCCCCCCCCCCCCCACACATACACCATGGCCCCCCACCCCCCCACATACACCAGGGCCCTCCACCCTCCCCCCCCCAATATACACCATGGCCCTCCACCATCCTATCTTCTATTCCCACAATGCTCCCACCACACATCACTGCGTCCATGAGCTCCGGGGCCTCTGCACACGGGTCCAACTGAGGCAGCATCTGGGGGGTACAGGAAGACAATCCACGAAGAGCCAACATCCCGATCATCGTTCACCATGGAGCGCCGAGCTGTGTGTCCTCCGATGGAAGACCTCGTCCTCCTCGCTGGAGGTCTCTCCGTCTGGACCCGAAACAACCTGCAGACAGGGGGCCACAAACATACATTATAGGGGGAGACCCCCCAATCACCCCCCCATCTCCCCCCTATCCCCCCTCCATCCCCTCATTTTCCCCCTCCATCCCCCCAATCATTCCCCCCCCATGTTCCTCCCAGAAGGAGGTCAGTGGTGACCCCCCTGACCCCCCCCCCCCATGTTCCTTCCAGAAGGAGGCCAGTAATGACCCTCCACTTCATGTTCCTTCCAGAAGGAGGTCAGTGGTGACCCCCCCCATGTTCCTTCCATAAGGTGGTCAGTGGTGACCCCCCCATGTTCCTTCCATAAGGTGGTCAGTGGTGACCCCCCCCCCCATGTTCCTTCCAGAAGGAGGTCAGTGGTGACCCCCCCCCCATGTTCCTTCCAGAAGGAGGTCAGTGGTGACCCCCCCATTTCCTTCCAGAAGGAGGTCAGTGGTGACCCCCCATGTTCCTTCCATAAGGTGGTCAGTGGTGACCCCCCCCCATGTTCCTTCAAGAAGGAGGTCAGTGGTGACCCCCCATGTTCCTTCCAGAAGGAGGTCAGTGGTGACCCCCTCCATGTTCCTTCCAGGAGGAGGTCAGTGGTGACCCCCCCCCATGTTCCTTCCAGGAGGAGGTCAGTGGTGACCCCCCCCCATGTTCCTTCCAGGAGGAGGTCAGTGGTGACCCCCCCCCATGTTCCTTCCAGGAGGAGGTCAGTGGTGACCCCCCCCATGTTCCTTCCAGAACATGAGCTCTGATGAAGAAGGTTTGGCCTTCGAAACGCGTCAGCTGAACTGAGTGCTTACCCCCACCCGCGCTGGCTCTCTATCTCTGAAGTCCCTGTGAGACTGACATGCCTGATTTTATTCGCTGTTTGTGAGTACCTTTCTGATTAATAAATTTGTGTTTACTGAGGTAATGCGCAAGGTTTGTGCGCTTCTCGTTTTTATTTCGCTCCAGTGTTGGTCGGGCTTCCCCAGCCTTGTGTTTGAGCTGCACAACCTTTGAAGCACTGGTGGTCGTTGTTTGTCCAGTTCTGGTTCCATCTATGTGCCACCCGCCTGGGTCCTAGAGCGCAGAAGAATGTTGGCCTTCCAGAAGGGGGCCAGTGGTGACCCCCGCATGTTCCTTCCAGAAGGAGGTCATTGGTGACCCCCCCCCCATGTTTTTCTTCCAGAAGGAGGCCAGTGGTGACCCCCCTTCCCCATGTTCCTTCCAGAAGGAGACCAGTGGTGACCCCCCCCCCATTTTCCTTCCAGGAGGAGGTCAGTGGTGACCCCCCCATGTTCCTTCCATAAGGTGGTCAGTGGTGAACCCCCCATGTTCCTTCCAGAAGGAGGCCAGTGGTGAACCCCCCATGTTCCTTCCAGAAGGAGGCCAGTGGTGATCGCCCCCCCCCCCCCATGTTCCTTTCAGAAGGAAGTCAGTGGTGACCCCCTCCCCCCATGTTCCTTCCAGAAGGAGGTCAGTGGTGACCCCCCCCCCCATGTTCCTTCCAGAAGGAGACCAGTGGTGACCCCCCCCCCCATGTTCCTTCCAGGAGGAGGTCAGTGGTGACCCACCATGTTCTTCCAGAAGGAGGCCAGTGGTGACCCCCCCTCCCCCATGTTCCTTCCAGAAGGAGACCAGTGATGACCCCCCCCCCCATGTTCCTTCTAGGAGGAGGTCAGTGGTGACCCCCTCCCCATGTTCCTTCTAGGAGGAGGTCAGTGGTGACCCCCTCCCCATGTTCCTTCCAGAAGGAGGTCAGTGGTGTCCCCTCCCCATGTTCCTTCCAGAAGGAGGTCAGTGGTGACCCCCTCCCCATGTTCCTTCCAGAAGGAGGTCAGTGGTGACCCCCTCCCCATGTTCCTTCCAGAAGGAGGTCAGTGGTGACCCCCTCCCCATGTTCCTTTCAGAAGGAGGTCAGTGGTGACCCCCCCATGTTCCTTCCAGGAGGAGGTCAGTGGTGACCCCCCCATGTTCCTTCCAGAAGGAAGTCAGTGGTAACCCCCGCATGTTCCTTCCAGAAGGGGGCCAGTGGTGACCCCCCCATGTTCCTTCCAGGAGGAGGTCAGTGGTGACCCCATGTTCCTCCAGAAGGAGGCCAGTGGTGACCCCCCTCCCCCATGCTCCTTCCAGAAGGAGACCAGTGGTGACACCCCCCCCATTTTCCTTCCAGGAGGAGGTCAGTGGTGACCTCCCCATGTTCCTTCCAGGAGGAGGTCAGTGGTGACCCCATGTTCCTCCAGAAGGAGGCCAGTGGTGACCCCCCTCCCCCATGTTCCTTCCAGAAGGAGACCAGTAGTGACACCCCTTCCCATTTTCCTTCCAGGAGGAGGTCAGTGGTGACCCCCCCATGTTCCTTCCATAAGGTGGTCAGTGGTGAATCCCCCCCATGTTCCTTCCAGAAGGAGGTCAGTGGTGACCCCCGCATGTTCCTTCCAGAAGGGGGCCAGTGGTGACCCCCCATGTTCCTTTCAGAAGGAAGTCAGTGGTGACCCCCTCCCCCCCTTGTTCCCTTCCAGAAGGAGGTCGGTGGTGACCCCCCCCCCCATGGTCCTTCCAGAAGGAGACCAGTGGTGACCCCCCCCCATGTTCCTTCCAGGAGGAGGTCAGTGGTGACCCCCCATGTTCCTTCCAGAAGGAGGTCAGTGGTGACCCCCCATGTTCCTTCCAGAAGGAGGCCAGTGGTGACCCTCCCATGTCCTTCCAGGAGGAGGTCAGTGGTGACCCCCCCCCATGTTCCTTTCAGAAGGAGGTCAGTGGTAACCCCCCCATGTTCCTTCCAGGAGGAGGCGAGTGGTGACCCCCCCACGTTCCTTCCAGAAGGAGGTCATTGGTGACCCCCCCGTGTTCCTTCCAGGAGGAGGCCAGTGGTCACCCCCCCATGTTCCTTCCAGAAGGTGGTCATTGGTGACCCCATGTTCCTTTCAGAAGGAAGTCAATAGTGACCCCTCCCATGTCCCGAAGTCAGTGGTGACCCCCTCCTCATGTTCCTCCCAGAAGAAGGTCAGTGGTGACCCCCCCATGTTCCTTCCAGACGGAGGTCAGTGGTGACCCCCCCATGTTCCTTCTGGAAGGAGGTCAGTGGTGACCCCCCCCCCCATGTTCCTTCTAGAAGGTCAGTGGTGACCCCCCCCCATGTTCCTTCTAAAAGGTCAGTGGTGACCCCCCCCCCCCCCCATGTTCCTCCCGTACAGACTGGCCCCTTCTTGTACGGTTGGATCTGCACTGCCTGTTGCCATGCCGGCAATTGCTCATTATGGCCCAGCCGGCAGACTTCCCGATTTCTCGCCTTCTAGAAGCCCCTGTCCTGTGACCACCATCTCCTCCTCTACGATGTCATACTTGTTTTTCCTCCAATCGGCTCCTCGCTCAGCAGGGACTCCTCCTCCCCATCTTTGGTCAGCAGACGTTGGTAGGACACCACTTGCAGGTCAGACAGGGTGTCGGGGAGCGGGGTGTTCAGGGTCTCCGGCAACAGGAGGCTCAGGAGGCCGGCGGACATTCCAGAGGCACCAAACACAACGAAGGGAAGATACCATCGCAGGGGGCGCTGAGGGACATACAATGAGAAGAGGTTCATGGGACAGTGGGGGAGGGGGTTATACACATCACCCACAGCAACCTTCTGTCAACACCCATGACATCCTCCACAGCAGAGAGGTGCAAAATGTGGGGTTTGCTTCACCAAACATTTCTGTGAAATTTTCCATTCCGACAAAATGGGGGTTCAGTAAGCTCAACCTGGCTCCTGGGGGGTCAAATGGGCTCCAATTGGTTCTTGAAGTGGTCAATGAGCTCTAACTTACTCTGGGAAGGTCAATGGAATCTAACTGATTCCTGGGTGGTCAATGGGCTCTCCCTATCTCCTGGGGGGTAAGTGGGCTCTAACTGACTCCCAGGGGTTCAATGGGCTGTAATTGGCTCTCAGGGGCTCAATGTGCTCTACCTGGCTCCTGAGGGTCTAGTAGGCTCTAACTGATACTTGGGCTCTGACTCCTGGGGGTCTGGTGGACCGTAATTGGCTCCCAGGGGTTCAGTGAGCTCTGCCTGGCTCCTGGAGGGTCAATGGGCTCTAACTGTCCTGGAGGTTCAGTGGCCTCTGACTCCTGTGGGTTCAGTGGGCTCTAACTGGTGCTTGGAGGTTAAGTGGGATCTAATTGACTGCTGAGGGTTCAGCGAGTCCAACTGGTTCTTGGGGGTATCACTTTATAGACGTATACATCTAGATATACTACGGGCTGCTGCTACATGAATCCTGGGGGTTCAGGGGGCTATGACTGGCTCCTGGGGTTTTGGTGAACTCTACCTGGCTCTAGAGGGTCAGTGGGCTCCAACTGATTCCTGGGGGGTTCAATGGGCTCCAAATGATTCCTAGGGGGGGGTTCAATGGGCTCAAGCAGACTCCTGATGGGGGTTCAATGGGCTCCAGCTGACTCCTGATGGGGGTTCAATGGGCGCCAGCTGACTCCTGATGGGGGTTCAATGGGCGCCAGCTGACTCCTGATGGGGGTTCAATGGGCTCCAGCTGACTCCTGATGGGGGTTCAATGGGCGCCAGCTGACTCCTGATGGGGTTCAATGGGCTCCAGCTGACTCCTGATGGGGGTTCAATGGGCTCCAGCTGACTCCTGATGGGGGTTCAATGGGCTCCAGCTGACTCCTGATGGGGGTTCAATGGGCGCCAGCTGACTCCTGATGGGGGTTCAATGGGCTCCAGCTGACTCCTGATGGGGGTTCAATGGGCTCCAGCTGACTCCTGGGGGTTCAATGGGCGCCAGCTGACTCCTGATGGGGGTTCGCTGGGCGCCAGCTGACTCCTGATGGGGGTTCGCTGGGCTCCAGTCCCGACTCCTGGGGGTTCGCTGGGCTCCAGCCGACTCCTGGGGGATCAATGGGCTCCAGCCGACTCCTGGGGGATCAATGGGCTCCAGCCGACTCCTGGGGGATCAATGGGTTCCAGCCGACTCCTGGGGGATCAATGGGTTCCAGCTGACTCCTGGGGTGGTTCAATGGGCTCCAGCTGACTCCTGGTGGTTCAATGGGCTCCAGCTGACTCCTGGTGGTTCAATGGGCTCCAGCTGACTCCTGGGTGGATCAATGGGCTCCAGCTGACTCCTGGTGGTTCAATGGGCTCCAGCCTGACTCCTGGAGGGTATCTCAATAGATTCCTACATCTAGCTATATGGAGATCCTTCAGCCCAAACTCTGGGGTCATTATAGGACAGGCTGCCCCTCCCATTGGTCTGATTATACTTTGTTACATTGTAATAATGGTCTCCTCCTCCCATGCACAACTGCAGGACTTCTCCAGGTCCTCCCCCATCCTCTGGAACTCACTGCCCCAATCCATCAGACTGTCGCCTTCCCTATTCACATTCAGGCGCTCCCTCAAAACCCATCTCTTCTGGGAAGCCTACCCCACCCTCACCTAACGGCCATCCTACCTCCCTCATTCCTCCCACCACTTCATCCCCCTCAGCCACTTCCTACTGTACCTTTTTACCCCTCCCTCCTAGATTGTAAGCTCGTAAGAGTAGGGCCCTCCTACCCCTCGTACGTTGTTTGTCATTGTTGTACTGGGCATGTATTGTCCCCCCCTATTGTACAGCGCTGAGCAAACCCTTTGCGCTATATAAACTCCATGTAATAATCAATAATAATAGAATGAAACATAAATAAAGATTTGGGAGGTTGTTGTACCAGAGCCGGGACCAAAGGGACTGCGCGATGATCCCTATTCGAATCAGGGGGAGAACATGGAGCAGATTCCATACCCCAGAGTCCTGCAAGACAAGGGACAAGATATGGGGAGCAATCCACAGACCCCCCCATACACTACTGGGTACAAAGGCGACCCCCCATACACACTGGATAAAAGGCGACCCCCTCCATACAGGTTTACAGGATACAAGGGGCCCCCCATACACACTGGGTACAAGCTGACCCCCCCCATACACACTGGGTACATGTATTGACCCCCCCCATACACACTGGGTACAAGGCGACCCTTTGCCCCATACTCCACTGGGTACAAATAACCCCCTCCCATACACACAGGATACAAGGGGCCCCCCCATACACACTGGGTACAAGGCGACCCCCTCCATACACACATGGATACAAGATTCCCCCATCCCCATACACACTGGGTACAAGGCGACCCCCCCCATACACACTGGGTACAAGGCGACCCCCCCATACACACTGGTACAAGGGGCCCCCCTCCATACACACTGGGTACAAGGGGCCCCCCCCCATACACACTGGGTACAAGGGGCCCCCCCCCCATACACACTGGGTACAAGGTGACCCCCCATACACACTGGGTACAAGAGGCGAACCCCCCCATACACACTGGGTACAATGGGGGACCCCCCCCATACACACTGGATACAAGGCGACCCCCCCCATACACACTGGGTACAAGGCGACCCCCCCATACACACTGGGTACAAGGCGACCCCCCCCATACACACTGGGTACAAGGCGACCCCCTCCATACACACTGGGATACAAGGGGCCCCTCTCCATACACACTGGGTACAAGGCGACCCCTCCATACACACTGGGATACAAGGGACCCCCCCCATACACACTGGGTACAAGGCGACCCCCCCCCCATACACACTGGGTACAAGGCGACCACCCTCTATACACACTTGGTACAAGGGGCCCCCCTCCATACACACTGGGTACAAGGCGCCCCCCTCCCATACACACTGGGTACAAGGCGACCCCCCCCCCATTACACACTGGGTACAAGGCGAACCCCCCCCATACACACTGGGTACAAGGCGACCCCCTCCCATACACACTGGGTACAAGGCGACCCCCCCCCCATACACACTGGGTACAAGGCGACCCCCTCCCATACACACTGGGTACAAGGCGACCCCCCCATACACACTGGGTACAAGGCGACCCCCTCCCATACACACTGGGTACAAGGCGACCCCCCCCATACACACTGGGTACAAGGCGACCCCCCCCATACACACTGGGTACAAGGCGACCACCCCCCCCCCATACACACTGGGTACAAGGTGACCCCTAATACACACTGGGTACAAGGTGACCCCCCCCCCCATACACACTGGGTACAAGGTGACCCCCCCCCCATACACACTGGGTACAAGGTGACCCCCCCCCCCATACACACTGGGTAAAAGGTGGCCCCCCATACACACTGGGTAAAAGGTGGGCCCCCCATACACACTGGGTAAAAGGTGACCCCCCCATACACACTGGGTAAAGGTGGCCCCCCATACACACTGGGTACAAAGCGACCCCTCCATACACACTGGGTACAAGGTGACCCCCCCAATAAACACTGGGTACAAGGTGACCCCCCCATACACACTGGGTACAAGGTGACCCCCCCCATACACACTGGGTACAAGGTGACCCCCCCCATACACACTGGGTACAAGGTGACCCCCCCAATAAACACTGGGTACAAGGTGACCCCCCCAATAAACACTGGGTACAAGGTGACCCCCCCCATACACACTGGGTACAAGGTGACCCCCCCCTATACACACTGGGTACAAGGTGACCCCCCCATACACACTGGTAACAAGGTGACCCCCCCATACACACTGGGTACAAGGAGGGCCCCCCATAGATACTGGGTACAAGGTGACCCCTCCATACACACTGGGTACAAGGTGGCCCCCGGCCATATGGCAGAGACTTATGGCGTGGCCCCGTGGCCCCCACCTACCGTACAGAAGTGGGGTACAGCTCCGTGGTGTAGATATATACAATGTTGAAAGCTGCGCTAATACATAACTTCCCGACCAGAGAGAGAATCTGAGAGTCCGACAGAGACAGGAACCCTGCAACACATACATCATCACTGGGGGGGGGGGGGGGGGACAGGAACCCTGCAACACATACATCATCACTGGGGGGGGGACAGGAACCCTGCAACACATACATCATCACTGGGGGGGGGACAGGAACCCTGCAAACACATACATCATCACTGGGGGGGGGGACAGGAACCCTGCAACACATACATCATCACTGGGGGGGGGGGGGGGGACAGGAACCCTGCAACACATACATCATCACTGGGGGGGGGGACAGGAAACCCTGCAACACATACATCATCACTGGGGGGGGGGGACAGGAACCCTGCAACACATACATCATCACTGGGGGGGGGGACAGGAACCCTGCAACACATACATCATCACTGGGGGGGGGGGGGGACAGGAACCCTGCAACACATACATCATCACTGGGGGGGGGGGGGACAGGAACCCTGCAACACATACATCATCACTGGGGGGGGGGGACAGGAACCCTGCAACACATACATCATCACTGGGGGGGGGGGGACAGGAACCCTGCAACACATACATCATCACTGGGGGGGGGGGGACAGGAACCCTGCAACACATACATCATCACTGGGGGGGGGGGGACAGGAACCCTGCAACACATACATCATCACTGGGGGGGGGGGACAGGAACCCTGCAACACATACATCATCACTGGGGGGGGGGGGACAGGAACCCTGCAACACATACATCATCACTGGGGGGGGGGGGACAGGAACCCTGCAACACATACATCATCACTGGGGGGGGGGGACAGGAACCCTGCAACACATACATCATCACTGGGGGGGGGGGGGGGGGACAGGAACCCTGCAACACATACATCATCACTGGGGGGGGGGACAGGAACCCTGCAACACATACATCATCACTGGGGGGGGGGACAGGAACCCTGCAACACATACATCATCACTGGGGGGGGGGGGGGGGGGGACAGGAACCCTGCAACACATACATCATCACACTGGGGGGGGGGGACAGGAACCCTGCAACACATACATCATCACTGGGGGGGGGGGGGGACAGGAACCCTGCAACACATACATCATCACTGGGGGGGGGGGACAGGAACCCTGCAACACATACATCATCACTGGGGGGGGGGGGGGACAGGAACCCTGCAACACATACATCATCACTGGGGGGGGGGGGGACAGGAACCCTGCAACACATACATCATCACTGGGGGGGGGGGGGACAGGAACCCTGCAACACATACACATCATCACTGGGGGGGGGGGGGGACAGGAACCCTGCAACACATACATCATCACTGGGGGGGGGGACAGGAACCCTGCAACACATACATCATCACTGGGGGGGGGGGACAGGAACCCTGCAACACATACACATCATCACTGGGGGGGGGGACAGGAACCCTGCAACACATACATCATCACTGGGGGGGGGACAGGAACCCTGCAACACATACATCATCACTGGGGGGGGGGGGGGGGACAGGAACCCTGCAACACATACATCATCACTGGGGGGGGGGACAGGAACCCTGCAACACATACATCATCGCTGGGGGGGGGGGGCAGGAACCCTGCAACACATACATCATCACTGGGGGGGGGGGGGGGGGACAGGAACCCTGCAACACATACATCATCACTGGGGGGGGGGGGACAGGAACCCTGCAACACATACATCATCACTGGGGGGGGGGACAGGAACCCTGCAACACATACATCATCGCTGGGGGGGGGGGGCAGGAACCCTGCAACACATACATCATCACTGGGGGGGGGGGGGGGGGGGGGGGGGGACAGGAACCCTGCAACACATACATCATCACTGGGGGGGGGGGGGGGGACAGGAACCCTGCAACACATACATCATCACTGGGGGGGGGGACAGGAACCCTGCAACACATACATCATCACTGGGGGGGGGGGGACAGGAAACCCTGCAACACATACATCATCACTGGGGGGGGGACAGGAACCCTGCAACACATACATCATCACTGGGGGGGGGGGGGGGGGGGGGACAGGAACCCTGCAACACATACATCATCACTGGGGGGGGGGGACAGGAACCCTGCAACACATACATCATCACTGGGGGGGGGGGGGGGGGGGGGTAAGCGGTGTTCTGTGGTGGGGGGGTGAGAGGTGTTCTGTGTGGGGGGGGTGAGCGGTGTTCTGTGTGGGGGGGGTGAGCGGAGTTCTGTGTGGGGGGGGTGAGAGGTGTTCTGTGTGGGGGGGGGTGAGCGGTGTTCTGTGTGGGGGGGGTGAGCGGAGTTCTGTGTGGGAGGGGAGGAGTTCAGTGGGGGGGGTGTTCGGGGGGGGGGGGGGGGTGTAGGAGGAGTTTGGTGGGGGGGGGGTAGGAGGAGATCGGGTGTGGGGGGGTGGGTTGTAGGAGGAGATCGGTGTGTGGGGGGGGGTAGGAGGAGTTCGGTGTGTGGGGGGGGGTAGGAGGAGTTCGGTGTGGAGGAGGGGGGGGTAGGAGGAGTTCGGTGTGGAGGGGGGGGGGGGGGGGTAGGAGGAGTTCGGTGTGGGGGGGGGTGTAGGAGGAGTTCAGTGTACCCGTCTTCCTCTCTGGCAGGAACAGGATACAGATACAGGTGACTCCGGCACAGCAGAGGAACAGGCAGAGGGGAACGTCTCCGACCAACACTGCAGGAGAAGCACAGACATCATTACAGGGGGGGGTTACTACAGGGGGGGCAGATTTATTATAGGGGGGGCAGAGTTACTATGGGGGGGGCAGAGTTACTACAGAGGGGCGGGGGGCAGAGTTACTATAGAGGGGCGGGGGCAGAGTTACTATAGAGGGGCGGGGGGCAGAGTTACTATGGGGGGGGCAGAGTTACTATAGAGGGGCGGGGGGCAGAGTTACTATGGGGGGGGGGCGCAGATGATTCCAGTGGAATCCGTTTCCGGATAGATCTGTGATGCTCAGGGAGTCCTGTGACCCGAGGGGGGCTGCGCGATGACGTCAGTAGAAGGGGCGGAAGTCCTCACCTCCGGTGGTTCAGCAGGTACATACACAGGGGATAGGCCGGCAGCTCGGCCAGACCGGACAGCGCCAGGCTCAGGTAGAGGTCGCCGCCCACTTGGCCGGAGCTCAGCGTCAGACCGTAATACACCAAACTGCAGACAAACCTGAGACATGTGATCAGTCATGGGGGGGAGGGGAGGAGGGGGGGGGAGAGGGGAGGAGAAGAGGGGGGGAGGGGAGGAGGAGAGGAGAAGAGAGGGGAGGGAGGAGGGGGCGTGGACTCCACCCCCGTACTCACCACACCCACATCATGACCAGCGTGCGTCTGCGCAGTACGACGTGACGGTATAGGGTGCAGACGTTGGATTCGGGGACCCGGCTCTTCTGTCGGGGTGAGAGGGAGAAATGGGGCGACTTCACCCGGGTTCCAGCGAGCCAGGAAGAGCAGAGAATCCTTCGCTTCATCCAACCGACCGCGAGCGAACAACCAGCGAGGAGACTCCGGGAGCCACCTACAGGGGCCCAACCAACACGGTGCAATCAGATCTACAGAGGAGGCGTGGTCAGATCTACAGAGGAGGCGTGGTCAGATCTACAGAGGAGGCGTGGTCAGATCTACAGAGGAGGCGTGGTCACATCTAAAAGAGAGGGCATGGTCACATCTAAAGAGAGGGCGTGGTCACATCTAAAGAGAGGGCGTGGTCACATCTAAAGAGAGGGCATGGTCAATCTATAGAGGAGGCGTGGACGTTGTACAATCAGATCATTAGAGGAGGCGTGGTGGTCAGATCTACAGAGGAGGCGTGGTCAGATCTACAGAGGAGGCGTGGTCAGATCTACAGAGGAGGCGTGGTCAGATCTACAGAGGAGGCGTGGTCAGATCTACAGAGGAGGCGTGGTCAGATCTACAGAGGAGGCGTGGTCACATCTACAGAGGAGGCGTGGTCAGATCTACAGAGGAGGCGTGGTCACATCTAAAAGAGAGGGCGTGGTCACATCTAAAGAGAGGGCATGGTCAATCTATAGAGGAGGCGTGGACGTTTGTACAATCAGATCATTAGAGGAGGCGTGGTCAGATCTACAGAGGAGGCGTGGTCAGAATCTACAGAGGAGGCGTGGTCAGATCTACAGAGGAGGCGTGGTCAGATCTACAGAGGAGGCGTGGTCAGATCTACAGAGGAGGCGTGGTCAGATCTACAGAGGAGGCGTGGTCAGATCTACAGAGGAGGCGTGGTCAGATCTACGATCTATAGAGGAGGCATGGTCAGATCTACAGAGGGGGCGTTGTTGTTGTACAATCAGATCTATAGAGGAGGCGTGTGATCAGACCTACAGAGGAGGCGTGGTCAGATCTACAGAGGAGGCGTGGTCAGATCTACAGAGGAGGCGTGGTCAGATCTACAGAGGGGGCGTGGCTGTTGTACAATCAGATCTACAGAGAGGGCATGGTCAAATCTACAGAGAGGGTCGTGGTCAAATCTACAGCCGGGGCGTGGTCAAATCTACAGCCGGGGCGTGGTCAAATCTACAGCCGGGGCGTGGTCAAATCTACAGCCGGGGCGTGGTCAAATCTACAGCCGGGGCGTGGTTGTTGTACAATCAGATCTACAGAGGGGGCGTGGTCAGATCTACAATCTATAGAGGAGGCGTGATTGTTGTACAGTCAGATCTACAGAGGGGGCGTGGTCAGATCTGCAGAGGGGCGTAGTCAGATCTACAGAGGGGGCGTGGTTGTTGTACAATCAGATCTACAGAGAGGGCGTGGTCAAATCTACAGAGAGGGCATGGTCAAATCTACAGAGAGGGCGTGGTCAAATCTACAGCCGGGGCGTGGTCAAATCTACAGCCGGGGCGTGGTCAAATCTACAGCCGGGGCGTGGTCAAATCTACAGCGGAGGGGGCGTGGTCAAATCTACAGCCGGGGCGTGGTTGTTGTACAATCAGATCTACAGAGGGGGCGTGGTCAGATCTACAATCTATAGAGGAGGCGTGATTGTTGTACAGTCAGATCTACAGAGGGGGCGTGGTCAGATCTGCAGAGGGGCGTGGTCAGATCTACAGAAGGGGCGTGGTCAGATCTACAGAGGGGGCGTGGTCAGATCTACAGAGAGGGGGCGTGGTCAGATCTACAGAGGGGGGGCGTGGTCAGATCTACAGAGGGGGCGTGGTCAGATCTACAATCTATAGAGGAGGCGTGGTTGTTGTACAGTCAGATCTACAGAGGGGGCGTGGTCAGATCTACAGAGGGGGCGTGGTCAGATCTACAGAGGGGGCGTGGTCAGATCTACAATCAGATCTACAGAGGGGGGCGTGGTCAGATCTACAATCTATAGAGGAGGCGTGATTGTTGTACAGTCAGATCTACAGAGGGGGGGCGGTCAGATCTACAGAGGGGGCGTGGTCAGATCTGCAGGGGGCGTGGTCAGATCTGCAGAGGGGGCGTGGTCAGATCTACAGAGGGGCGTGGTCAGATCTACAGAGGGGGCGTGGTCAGATCTACAATCTATAGAGGAGGCGTGGTTGTTGTACAGTCAGACCTACAGAGGGGCGTGGTCAGATCTACAGAGGGGGCGTGGTTGTTGTACAATCAGATCTACAGAGGGGGCGTGGTCAGATATACAGAGGGGGCGTGGACAGATCTACAGAGGGGGCGTGGACAGATCTACAGAGGGGGGCGTGGACAGATCTACAGAGGGGGCGTGGTCAGATCTACAGAGGGGGCGTGGTCGCAGTGCAATCAGTACTCACAGTGAGAGGATGAACACCGCCAGGCCATGAACGTTCACCAGAATCGCCAGCAGCCTCCAGGACGAACAAAGTAGCCAATCAGGAGCGAACTGCGAGATTCCCAACGCAAATCCCAACCCGGCCAACGAGCCTGAGGAGGGAAAGAGGATGAGCGAGGAGGACACGGGGGGGGGGGGGACAGGAGGAGGACACAGGGGGAAGAGGAGGAGGAGGAGGGCTGTGAGGGACCGCCGAGCGGCACCACTAGCACTCCACCGGTCAGGCGTGCCCAGAGCGCGGAGTCTAAGCTTCCCCAGGGTACTTGTTCACCAGGGCCCCTGATGGTGGGGATGGACTTGTAGTACCCTGAGACCAGGTCGCCTCTACTGAGCACGCCTGTCAGTGGTAGGGGTGTCCGCCAGGGTTCCAACCAGGGAGAGCCAGATGTGAGGAGGTCGGGTGACCCCGATGGGATGGATGGATGCACTGATGGCTGAGCAAGTGCGTAGTCAGACAGGCCGAGTCGGTAATGTAGAGGACGGTAAGGTACAAGGGAGCAGGCAGAGAATCGTGGGGTCACACGCCAGGTCAGCAACAGGAGGTCAGATCTACAGAGGGGCATCCAGGAGAGAGGTCAGGCAAGCAAGGGTTCTGGGCAGGAGAAATCAGCAGGTCAAGAGCAATCCGGGTCAATAACTTACAGGTTACAGGTTCACAGGATCAGGAATTGCAGGTAAGACCAGAAGGCAACGAAATGACAGCTCAGGGATCTTTAAATATCCCGCCCTGCGCTGCCATTGGTGCCAGCGGGCGGCCCGCGGCTTCTACTGCGCATGCGCGAACTCGAACGCCGCGGCCGGCCCGGACCTAGTGCCCGTGTACTGGGAGGAGCAGTGAGTGCCTGCGCCGGGACCATCGAGGGACGGATCGCGGGGGGATCCCTGACAAGGGCACAGGGGGAAGAGGAGGAGGAGGAGGGCACGAGGAGGAAAACACGGAGGAGGAGAAGGAAGAGACAAGGAGGAGGAGGAAGAGACGAGGAGGAAAAGGAGGAGGAGACGGAAGAGAAGAGGAGGAGGAGGTTACGAGGAGGACACAAGAAGGAGGCGGACACAAGAGGAGGTGGAGGAGTTAGGGCATGGAGGAGGAGGATGAGGAGGAGACAAGGAGGAGGGCATGAAGAGGAGGAGGAGGAGGAGGAGGACAAGGAGGAGGAAGAGGAGAAGGAGGGAGAGACAAGGAAGAGGAGTGTGACGGGAGTCACTTTGGGTGGGGGACCCATGGAACACAACTCACTTTGGAGAGGTGGGGAGACCCCCGTCTCAGCTCCCCATATCCCTCTTATGTGTAAGTCACCCTGTGCCTGTTAGGGGGGGGGGGGGTGATCTGTCCTAATATTGGGGGGGGGGGTGATCTGTCCCTAATATTGGGGGGGGGTGATCTGTCCTAATATTGGGGGGGGGTGATCTGTCCTAATATTGGGGGGGGGGGTGATCTGTCCTGATAGGGGGGGGGGGTGATCTGTCCTAATATTGGTAGGGGGGGTGATCTGTCCTAATATTGGGGGGGGGGGTTGTGGATTGTTTGGTGTCATGTGGTGCACCCCATTGTTCTATTGTGTGTCTGGGTTGGGAGCAAACTATTATGGGATGTATGTGTTTGTGTATTGGCTGGTGGGGGGGGGGGGGGGGGGGTGTCTCCAGCAGCCCTCCCCCCTGATGCAGGGGACTGTCTGCTGGGTGTGTCTCTTGTTACTAAATGAAAAAAGATTGCCCCGCCCCGTGTCATTATGCAGGGAGGGGGGATTGTCCCGCCCGTGTCATTATGCAGGGAGGGGGGGGATTGTCCCGCCCCGTGTCATTATGCGGGGGGGGGGGATATCTTGTATCTGGGTTACAATAAAGCATCTATTTCCTGTATGGTCAGCGGTGGGGTCCGGAGATCTGTGCTGGGACCAGGAAGCTGGAGGCTCGTGCAGTCAGGGTCCGGTTCTGGTACAAGGAGGAGGAGAAGGAGGACACAGGGGGGGGGGGGGAGGGGGGACAGGAGGAGGACATGAGGTTGAGGGAGGAGGACAAGAAGGACACGAGGAGAAGGGGGAGGAGGAGAAGACAAGGAGGAGGAGGAAGAGGACACGAGGAGAAGGAGGAAGAAGAGGACAGGAGGAGGAGGAAGCAAGGAAGAGGACACGAGGAGAAGGAGGAGGAAGAGGACACAAGAGGAGGAAGAGGGAGGAGGAAGAGGACACGAGGAGGAGGAAGGAGAACAAAGGAGAAGAGGAGGAGGAGGAGGAAGAGGACACGAAGAGGAGGAGGAAGAGGACAAAGAGGAAAAGGAGAACGAGACAGGAAGAGGAGGAGGAAGGAAAGAGGACAAAAGAGGAGGAGGAAGGAAGAGGACACAAAGAGGAGGAGGGAAGAGGACAAGAAAAAGGACACAAAAGAGGAGAGGAGGAGGAAGAGGACACAAAGAGGAGGAGGAGGAGAAGGAGAGGACACAAAGAGGAAGGAAGGAGGAAGAGGAAAGAAGGAGGAGGAGGAGGAAGAGGAAGGAGGAGGAGGAGGAGAAGGAGGGAGGAGGAGGAAGAGAAGGAGGACACGAAAGAGGAGGAGGACAAGGAAAGAAGGAGGAGAAGGAGGAAGGAGGAGGAAGGAGAAGAGAAGAAGGACACAAAGGAGAGGAGGAGGACACAAGAAAGGAGGACAGAGGAGGAGGAGAAGGAGGAGGAGGAGGGAGGAGGAAGGAGGAGGAGGGGGAGAAAGGAGGAGGACACGAGGAGGAAAGAGGAAAGGGAGAGGAGGAGGAGGGGAAACGAAGAGGAGAAAGAGGAGGGAAGAGGAAAGGAGGAGGAGAGAAAAGGAAAGGAGAGGAGGAGAAGGAGGAGAAGAGGACACGAGGAGGAGGAAGGGGGGGGAGGAGGAGGGACATGACAAGGAGAAGAGGGGAGGAAAAGGAAAGGAGAGAAGGAGAGGGAGAAAGGAGGAGAAGAGGGAGGAGAAGGAGGAGGAGGAGAGGAAGAGAGGAGAAGGAGGAGAAGGAGGAGGGAGGACAGGAGGAGAGAGAGGACACAGAGGAAGAGGAGGAGGAGGAAGAGGAGGAAGGAGGACACGAGGAGAGGAGAGGACACGAGGAGGAGGAGGAGGAGACGAGGAGGAGGAAGGAAGAGGACACGAGGAGGAGGAAGGAGGACACGAGGAGGAGAAGGAGGAGAGAAAGAGGACACGAGGAGGAGGAGGAAGAGAGAGGAGGAGAGAACGAGGAAGGAAGGAGGACACGGAGAGGAGAGAAAGAGGACACGAGGAGGAGGAAGGAAGAGGACACGAGGAGGAGGAGGGAGGAGGAGGAGGAGGACAGGAGGAGGGGGAGAACACGAGGGGGGAGGAAGGAGGACACGAGGAGGGGGAGAAGGAGGACAACGAGGAGGGGGAGAAGGAGGACACGAGGGAGGGGGAGGAGGGGGAGAAGGAGGACACGAGGAGGGGGAGAAGGAGGACACGAGGAGGGGGGAAGGAGGACAGAAGGAGGAAGGAGGAGAACGAGGAGGAGGAGGAGGAGGACGACGGAGAAGAGGAGGAGGAGGAGGACACGGAGAGGAGGAGGAGGAGGACAGGAGGAGGAGGAGGAGGAGGAGGACACGGAGGAGGAGGAGGAGGAGGAGGAGGAGGGGAAGGAGGAGGAGGAGAAGGAGGAGGAGGAGGAGGAGGAAGGAGGAGGAGGAGGAGGAGGAGGAGGAGGAGGAGGGGAAGGAGGAGGGGAACACGGAGAACGAGGAGGAGGACACATTGAGGGTTACCAGCCGTCGCCCAGTAGGTGGCACCGATGTACTCGTTCAGCAGCACGAAGGCGACGAGCGACATCCCGCCGTTGGCGATTCCCACGATGAAGCGAGTGATGAGGAAGATGGTGAAGGACGGTGACAACGCGTTCATCAGAGAGAAGGAAAGGTCCAGAGCCAGACCTGCAGGAGAGACGCCAGAGTCACATGACCCCTCTAATGTCCTTATTACCCCTCCCCCCCCACCAATCAGCTTCCGTCTTCAGCTTGTTCAATGAATCCTGGAAGCTGATTGGCTCCCATGCAGCAGGTCCTGCGTCTCCCCAATCCGCCACCTTCCTGGTCTGTCCCCCCAAATTCTCAAAACTTCATCTTCTGTGACCCCAAAAACTAACCCGGAATGTGACGGAATCCATCACAGGGTATGGGGGGGGGGGGGGGGGGGAGGGGCGGGATCGTGTACCCCACACTCACATGGGGGGGGGGGGGGGGGGGAGGGGCGGGATCGTGTACCCCCACACTCACATGGGGGGGGGGGGCGGGATCGTGTACCCCACACTCACATGGGGGGGGGGGGGGGGGGGACATGGGGGGGGGGGGGCGGGATCGTGTACCCCACACTCACATGGGGGGGGGGGGGGGGGGGGATCGTGTACCCCACACTCACATGGGGGGGTGAGGGGGGGAGGGGCGGGGGATCGTGTACCCCACACTCACATGGGGGGGGGGGGAGGGGCGGGATCGTGTACCCCACACTCACATGGGGGGGGGAGGGGGCGGGATCGTGTACCCCACACTCACATGGGGGGGGGAGGGGCGGGATCGTGTACCCCACACTCACATGGGGGGGGCGGGATCGTGTACCCCACACTCACATGGGGGGGGCGGGGATCGTGTACCCCACACTCACATGGGGGGGGGGCGGGATCGTGTACCCCACACTCACATGGGGGGAGGGGGGAGGGGGGGAGGGGGAGGATCAGTCACCACGGCTCCGGGTCTACAGAGCGACCCCCCTGGGTTCCCCCGCCCCCATGACCACCCTTGTTTATCCCCCTCCCCCATGACCACCCCCGCCCCATGACCCCCCCGTGATCCCCTCCCCCCATGACTCCCCCCGCCCCCCCATGACCCCCTGTGATCCCCCCCCCATGACCCCCTGGTTTA